TGTAACATAATGTCTGATGGTTGGATATGCTTTAAATTTTTCGGACACTTTCCTTGTAAGTCTTTAAGTAAGCTTACCAATTTTTGTTGCAATTGGAGGTCGGGAAGGATACTCAATATCTATTTGTTTGAAGAAAATTGTGCTGGCCGAAATTTTAATTAGCGCTAAAAAACCATCCTACAGTCGGCACGCGCGGCTCACTGTCGATGGCGCACTACCTATTAATGGTCTGGCCCGGCGCACGCTACTTCGTAGCACTCGCCATCGGGAATATTTCGAGAAGAAAGCGGCGCGCGCTACTTCGAAGAAATTTAGACTAGTAACATCCGTCAATACAAGGTGCCTGGTGCTACCAAAGACTTGGTTCCCGATATTAGTATATAAATCCGTTATATTGTTGCATAAATTATAATGTTGATGTTATACTTATGTTAGGTGAGAATTTGGCTCATTTGTTATTTCGGATCAATTCCTTCCCACGAAATTTAAATGGCATTGCATTATATATGAATTTAATGCCGACTTGATTTAGTAAAAAGTTGATACATGTTTCACGCGCGAAAAGTGGCATGCAACGTATGTCAAGTAAAAAGTGCCATTACATATTCAGTCAGTTATCGACGGATATTGGATATGCCTACATAAACACAAGGAAATTATTTCAAATGTTAAATTTCGAAATCGTTGAAATTACTAATAATTAATATTTTATTATTAATGAAGTTATGAGTTTACATTTCGACTTTGTAAAGTACCCTGACGTTATGACCAAAAGAAATAATATATGACCGGCCAACCCATGACCAAAACCCATAATCATGGGTAGAGTGGACCCAGTGGCGTAACGTTGCCTGTTGGCGCTCCCCCCGCCGAAAAAGCGCCCCCCTGTTGGCGCCCCCTCCCCTTTTGGTGCCCCTCCCTAAAATTGAACAAATTAGGTGATTTTAGACTTAGAGGATACGCCGGTAAAATCTCTAAAAAAGTGTGTATCTAGAGCAAAACGCGCAGTTTTGCTAGTACTTTAGTTAAGTTTTCGAAATCGTCCCACATTCAAACGACGATTGCCCCCCCCCCCCCCCCCACTAAGACGGCGCCCCAAACCCCCCCCCCCCCCGCACTGCACAGCGGGGTCAGCGGGGCCCTTCGTTACGCCACTGAGTTGACCGCTGCCAGTTTCTCTCTTCCCCAAACAAAAGGCAATGATATCAATTTGAATGACCGTAATCAAATGCAAAATGATACCGAGAATGAAATCGGTCGCTCGCTTTTCCCATTCATCCACGGCTTACGAATTGTAATAAGTTTCGATTTATAACATGTAATCTATTAATATTACAATTGTAAATACCATGATTATGGGTTTTGGTCAAATCACATCTACAAAGCTGCCATATAGCCTGACTGACAATTTTCTCGACTGACTGACAATGTTTCTTCTTTTCCCCATTTAGAATACAAAGATTAGTATATTTTAGCTTATGATTAATATTATATTTTTACCTATAGTTTACCTAGATTATTGATATTTATCTAACGTTCGGATTCAGGAACTATTTAAAAATAGAACGCCAATTTCAACCGTCATAGTACCTTAGTTTTATTCATTTAGTAGTATAATGACGTCCCAATTCCATTTTGTATTTTCCATACTGATCTCATATACAGCTAGAATGAAAAAAGAAATATTAAAACCAATTAGCCTTAGCACTTAGAAACATCACGGAGGAGTTTATAACACACTACACGCTAAAGCACGTCGGTGTTATTTTCATAACGATCCCACGTGCTTCGCACTCGAAAGTATTATTAACTTTTAAATATAATCCCTGTGCGTGCAGGCGTTATGTGTGTTATAACTGTCTGTGTTATATTTTCAGCATTATCTACGCTTCAGTTGATGAACTATGCAAAAATGATTTACATCACTACCAAGCCTGTGGAATAGAATCAGTCAGGATTCGTCAAATCAACCCATTTTCTAGTTTTGCAACCAGTTCGATGGCAGGTAATGATTTTATCATCATATGAAATTAGTTAATATAATAAATCAATATATGTAGTTCACTATTACAACTTGAACTAACAGTAACAGTAGATGCCCAACTTAGAGAGTGTCGGATATGATTGATGTTGTGGTACATATTAAGGGTTTTTTTACATCTTTGGTAATTTTAATTCGTTTAATTCTGTTTACCTAATTTTCTCAAACCAGGTGAATACCCATGTGGATATCTCTGCCTCCCAAGACTGTCACAGATGAATACATTTACACATATTATTCACATGGCTGATATCTACACTGACGGAATTTTTGGGGTTCGTTCCTGCGATGGGAAGAATGACTGCCTTAACACAAACCTTGATGAAGCTTTCTGTGAAGATCAAAAAGACTCTGAACTGTGTGATCTTATTTGCTCCCCATATGGTGATTGCACGGACGAACAGTTTTGTAATGGTTTTGAGTACGGTGTTCAGTGTGGAGAGTTTTTGGACAACAATCTGATGCACCAAACTTGGTATTTTACTGCAAACTTTGTGTGTGACGGGGTAAAAGACTGTAAAGATGGGAGCGATGAAAAGGATTGTGTGATTAATGAAATGACAACAACGTGCCTCAATTTAAGAAAAGGGGTTATAGTACCGCTTCATAATTATACCCGATGTGCCGCAAGAGTTCGCAGCAGAATGAAATGGAATTACCCAGACGAAATCATACTATTTTGTGACGATTACAGCGACCAAACCAACTGCTCGGACCCATCTAGAGTGGGTATAGAATGCCCAGTTCGTGGATACAACACCACTGTTGCCAAGCAGATCATCTGCCTGAAATCATTACACGTCCAAACCATTCCCATCAACTCCATACCACAAATATGTGACGATGGGATCGATAAGGCGTGCGTTGAAAGCAGTGGCTCCTGTTTTATACACAAACACCTTTTGTGTGATGGTCACCCAGATTGCGGTGATAGTAGTGACGAACGTCTAGACCTATGCCAAATTATGACCACAAAGAAATGTACGAGAAGGTATCTTTCCCAGGTTATGGATGACATTGTCTTTCCTTTTGCATGGGTGCATGACGGACTGGTCGACTGCACGAATGGTGAAGATGAAAAGGTGCATTGGCCAACTTGTGGAAAGGGGTCAACATTCCGCCTTGTTAGTCACGATGAAACTGAATGTGACGAGGTATTCATATGTGCATACAACTCGGACCTAAAGTTTGTTAGCTTTTCCAACCTATGTGATAGGAAAGAATCTTGCAGTAATGAAATTGAGATTTGCAGTGTGTCGAGAATTCAAACTATACCTTTTGCAAGAGCTACAAGAGATAGCAAGATGAAAATACGAATGCAACATTGCCTAAAAGGAATTATTGAAATATCAAATCTTACCAACCAATATTGTTCAAGAGTAAGTTTCCTTTTCCCTGACACAGACATCTTTGGACGGAACAAAACTACTGAGATAATTTTACCCGACGCAAAGAAGACTGCAGATACTTTTTTGGAGAGTATTACGTTTTTGCAAGCTGTTTGGGACGTTGCATGAATGCAACTTGCCCACTAAGAAGATCGATTAGGTGGGACTCTTGCAGTGGACAATTCGATAGGGATAAGATATTCACCCCAGACAAAGAAGGTCAACTTACTTTCCTGATCAAAGATTTCAAAACAGGAAAACTCGGCAATGATTTATTCCTTTGTGAAAACGGCAAATGTATCACTTATGACAAAGTATGCGACCTGGCTGATGATTGTGGAGATAGTTCAGATGAGTCAGGGTGCACTAACCACTTTAAGTGCCATAAATCTGGGGTGTACCTTCCAATCACCCAGAAATGTGATAAAACTGTTCACTGCTCCGATATTTCAGACGAATGCAATGAAAGTTGTGGACAAGAAATCGTTAACAGCAGTTTCCTTAAGCTTGTTGGTTGGACCATTGGAGTGTTAGCTCTCATCTTAAATTGTGTGTCAGTATTTAAGAACATCTCTAGTATCAGAGCTACAAAATCAGAAGCTGCACTTCTCAACAAGAGCTTGGTTTTTCTAATCAGCATGGGTGACCTCATGATTGGTATCTACCTTACCATGATCTCGGTTTACAATACTTATCACAGTAAAACGTACTGCTCGATTCAACTAAACTGGCTTTCTAGTAACATCTGTGTCGCTTTAGGCATCATAAGCACTACCGGCTCCCAAGTATCTTTGCTATCCATGACTGCTCTGGGCTTACTGAGAGCTTTCGGTGTATATACAAATTTAATGATACCTAAGGAAGTCACAAACAAAAGTTTGATAAAAGTGGTCGTAATATTTTTCACTATCTTGATGGTATCATCAGTTATTTCTTGGCTGCCTTTAGTTGAAGAACTCGAAGATTTCTTTGTGAATGGTATGAAATACGAAAATTCAAACTCACTGTTTATTGGCTGTCCGGATAAATATGTACACCGAGAAATACTTCAGAAGTATTATGGCAGGATAGCAGCCGAGGACCTCACTTGGGCTCAAATAAAGGTTCTTGTAGACGCTATTTTCTCCAATGACTACGGAGGGATTTCTCGTTACAAACTTTCGTTCTATGGTAACGCACCTGTCTGCTTATTTAAGTATTATGTCAAAATGAATGATCCTCAACAGGGCTTTGTTTTCTTGATCATTTGCATTAATTTCGCGTGTTTTGTCACTATAGCAGTTTCTTATATGGCAATAGTGATTAAGGTAAAGAAATCTGCAAGAAAGCTGGACAAAATCGCTACAAAACAGACAAAGAAAAAAAATATCAAACTGCAAAAAGTTACTCAATGGATTATCTTTACGGATTTTGCATGCTGGGTACCTTTTATCATTACTTGTTGCTTTCATTATGCCGACATTTTAGATGCAACGCCGTGGTATCCCTTATTTTCAATTCTTGTTTTACCAATAAATTCGGTGATTAACCCTCTTCTATACGACATATCTCTGAGAACATCACTTTATTCCATGTTTAACAAACTTAAACGAAAAGTAGTCGCTTTCTTTTATTTTACAGCAGCAGCAGCAGCAGCAGCTGAAACAACAGCAGCTGAAACACCAGCAGCTAAAACACCAGCAACAGCAGCAGCTGAAACACCAGCAGCTGAAACACCAGCAGCTGAAACACCAACAACAGCAGCAGCTGAAACACCAGCAGCTGAAACACCAGCAGCTGAAACACCGGCAGCTGAAACACCAGCAGCTGAAACACCAGCAACACCAGCAGCTGAAACACCAGCAGCTGAAACACCAGCAGCTGAAACACCAGCAGCTAAAACACCATCAGCTGAAACAGCAACAGCTGAAACAACAGCAGCTGAAACATCAACAGCTGAAACACCAGCAGCTGAAACAGCAGCAGCTGAAACAGCAGCAGCTGAAACACCAGCAGCTGAAACACCAGCAGCTGAAACACCAGCAGCTGAAACACCAGCAGTTGAAACACCAGCAGCTGAAACACCAGCAGCTGAAACACCAGCAGCTGAAACACCAGCAGCTGAAACACCAGCAGCTGAAACACCAGCAGCTGAAACACCAGCAGCTGAAACACCGGCAGCTGAAACACCAGCAGCTGAAACATCAACAGCAAAAGCAGTAGCAGCATCAGTAGCAGAAGAAATGGTAGTAGAAACAGAAACAAAGACAGCATCAGTATCATTATCAGTACCAGCATCAATATCACCATTAGCAGCAGTACTAATAGCAGTAGAAACAGTAGCAATAGTAGCAGAAACAGTGTCAGCATCAGCATCAGCAGAAACAGCAGTAGACGAAATAAAACCAGCTGAAACAGAAGAAATAGTAGCAGCAGACGAAACAGCAGCAGTAGCAGTAGAAACAGCAAAAGGGCAAACATAAGGATCTAAGATCAATTTGATTTTTGATTCCGTAAAAATGAATCAGGGAACCACTTTTGAGAACATTATCTCCTGCTCATTTATTTATTATTTGGTCACAGTTAGACACCATACAAATAGGTCGCACATTGTTTTTACCCGTCATGAACCAACTCTGGCGAATACCGCTGGTTATTTTAAATCTATTAAATATTAAGTTTTGTTAACAATTATTAAATATTTTTAAGTAATTTTTGAGCTGAGATAAAGTTTCATTTGTTTAGTACAATTGAGCCTGTTGAGTAAAACTTATGTTCTAAAATAAAAGCCTAAGCCTGGCTGGATGGATTAAGACTGATAACGAATAAAACCTATAATTATTAAGGATACTGTCAAATGCACCCCATGGAGCACTGAGTAAGAGTTCGACCCCACACAAATTGAAATATGATGACAACTACATTTAGATTGTAGTACAATCTAAATGTAGTTGTACAATGTACAATTTGTACAACTAAGCACTTTTTAGAAACGAGAAACATTTATTTGCATGATCGAGTGAACGAAATTATAAATTTGTGTACCAAACATTAACCAATATGCGTGCAACATGGGTGCGCGGCATTTTGGAGACATCATTGATATTAACAGAAACCCGTCTAACCCCAAAGTGGTGTCAAGAGACAACAATATTTATCTATTTAGTGATTTCAACACCAATAAATTAATTTAGTACTCAGATCTTGGGAATTGAGAGAAATATAACCCGCCGCGATCTTTTGGTATGGTAATGTTGGTAATTTGCATGACTCTGGAATCTGTGATATAAAAAGAAATAAAAAACGTCGTTCTCAATATTTTGTTATCAAATCATAATAAATAAAAAATATACTATCCCGAGTGAAAAGTTCATTAATCGTAACCTTAGAATAGAAGATGAAAATTGAAAAATAAGAACTTAATTTATACTAAACAAGTCCACTTATTGCTTCTTTGGAGGCACTGGTACAGGCCTGACTTGTTTGTAGCTTTTCAGAGCCTCAGCATACCACTTCAACTCCTTAGCTTGCTTGACCATGTTGGCCTTCACTCTGTCGTCTGTTAAGTTGCCTTCTTCATCAAACATTGAGCCTACCGACATGACGGTACACGACGCTGGTACCGGTACCATTCCCAGTTCTGTCACATGAGCTTTCAGGTTTATTTGAATCCGACATCCTCCAAAAGGACCCACACTGTACGTTAACAGAGCTGAGGAAAGTTTTGATTACAGATGCTATTAGTTATTTATAAAATATATAGAAAATGCTAGATTTATTTTAATTTGAACACCTGATTTTGCTTGATCAGGGGTAAATTTGGTACCATTACAGTGATGAATGATGACTTACCAACAGGTCTGTCCTTGTAAGCAGCAGGCGGGTAGTGGTCGAGCATGTTAGTGAGGGCGGGGGGCAGGGCTGAGTTGTACTCAGCGGAACAAATTATAAAACTGTCAGCTTCCTCCAGCTCTTTCTTCTTGTCGTGCATCCATTGTGGAAACCCCGACTGAAATGAAATTGATATCTATATAAGTGTATGTTAAGTGATAGTTCAGTCAGATGCAAAACTTTTCATAAAACGATTAGATGGTGTAAGTAAATCGACCAATTGATGCTAATTTGCTTGAATAATAAAACTGAATTGTATAGAAAATATTTCTTACTGCATCTGGAACAAGATGCAGAGGCTGTTCTAGGATTGTGTAGGGACTATCTTTGGGGTCCCACAGTGATACTTCAAGACCTTGCTCCTCCAGAATCTCCTTCATTGCTTTTCCTACCCTGTAGGGTATTAATGTTAAATAAATATAATTTATTCCCACTTTATAATCTGTTAGTGTAACTGTAGCTATAGTATAAGTAAGGTATAACTCAATCCTGTCACAACAACACACTAGGTACGATCTAACAATGGTAATTTCAAAATTGCTGCCCCGCTCAATCTTTACCTGTCGCCCCATGATCCCTCGCCTGTGAAACTAGCACCTTTCCTACAGGATGAGAGGAACAGAATCGTCTTTAGCTTAGCAGCCATTTTTTATCTGTGTATTAGAAAAAGTTTATTCACGAACATTCTATCAAACGACGCTCAGTCTGTCATTCCGCCGCATCTACAATATGTTTAGGGGTCGTTCACATATTACGTAATCAGCATCAACAATATGTTTATGAAAATTAAGCCTGGGGTCCCCAGGTAAAAACAAAGCTGTAACAAGTCGACAACAAACTTAGTCATAGAACAATGTGAATGAGAAAAGATCATATTTTAAGAAAAGACAATTTAAATATGGGAGTTATATCAACCAAGCGCTATGTTGATAAAAGAAAATGCCTGGCCTTACAATTCCTTATAATTATATGGGAGTATCTATTCGTTGTTAAGACATGCTCATGTAAATTGTAAAATTTGTGTAATTTTGGGGAAGCTTCATCCCTTTGGTCGTCATAAGTTTGGCATAAGGCGCTCAAATTCCTGCATGTTTAACTTTAAGTACAGTTTTCAATTTGTGAAAAAACTTTAAAGTGGAATGAATCTAAAATGAAATTAAAGTTAAAAATAACGTAAGTCCAATTCATGAGTGGCACTAAAATATTATACCACAACTTGACGATATAAGGATATAATATAAACTTTAAGCATTTATAAAGCCACGAGTCGAAAATATAGTCACGTACTGTATGACTAAATCAGTTTATATTCGTTTAATCTTTAAAGCTTTAAGTTACGTCTAATCTTATCAGTGCATTGATAAAATTCAACTTAATATGAATATATGAATAATGAATATGAATATTATAATGTTTAAAATTTACTGATTTAACGACGTGACTAATGAGCTTAACTGCAGTATTATCCGTTATCAGGGAAATTAAAGTATCGCAGCTGCCGACTCTTGTTGAATTGCTCGACCAAATACACTAGACTATCACGTGACCAAATGTCTAACGGGTTGTTAAATTATTTTCCAGGCAATTCAATTTGCTTTAGAATTAGAACATTTATTCATAGCGGGAATCGCACTGTAAAATTTCCAGATCGTCACATTCATGATTCAGATCATGTGCCTTAGTTAACCACTTGTATGTTTATAGGTTATATTTCCCCAACCGTGCGTTAACCGTGCGTTAACCGTGCCTTAAGCGACCATAATGGTTGCTTATGTGCAGTTTGTGCGTTAACCGTGCGTTAACCGTGCGTTAACCGTGCGTTAACCGTGCGTTAACCGTGCGTTAACCGTGCGTTAACCGTGCGTTAACCGTGCGTTAACCGTGCGTTAACCGTGCGTTAACCGTGCCTTAAGTGACCGTGCCTCAACCGTGCCTTATGTAACCCTTGTGCCTTAACCGTGCGTTAACCGTGCCTTAACTGTGCTTTAACCGTGCCTTAACCGTGTCTTAACCGTGCGTAGCTACATTACCGAATTGTCCACAAACCCGACCTAATTATAAAAAACTAATTCAGCTCACTACACAGCTTACACCATCAAAAGGAGTATGTAGTAAAGGGGAAAATCAGAAGATTTCTCCATGTTACCCTTTATTTACAGCATTCTTATGAAGTACCAGGTACGTGTACTTTATTTCAGTTTAATAGAACTTTTGGTGTAAATTATATTTGGGCTACTTTAAATGACCGTCAGGGGTTTCCGGGTAAAGCTGTTACGGTTTAAACTTTCCCGCAGTTGTTATATTGGAGAACAGAGAAGTTTATTTCGTTTTACACACTTTTAGTGTAACTCGGTTAGCTGTCAGACCAACTGTCAGAGAGGAGCCGTCCGCTCACTTTGCACCTGACTTATAGCCAGGCCTGTGGTTGGTCCTCGCGGCCACAGGGTGACTGCTAGTGGACTAGTGGAGTGCTCATTGGCGAGACTGCGAGTCACGCGGTACAAGCAGATCCGTTGTACCGTCACGCATCCTGGCGTGACAAGGTTTTGACAGCATACCCGGAGAGGCGGAAGTGAAGAGCTCACTTTTAGTTTGCAGTTTGCACCTTCATCTTTAATTTGAAGGGATCATGTCATATTCTGCTCGCGGGCTGTATCAGCAGCCCTACCGGGTACAAAAATAAAGTGAACCTCTTATCCTGTCTCCGGGCTATATCGCTACTCCGGGCTATATCGCTGTCATCCCGCCAAATCTCTATGATTATGAACATAAATATATTAGTTTGAGGTCCAAATAGTAATAGTAAAGGTATGTTTATGGTGGGTAATTTCCTAACGGCTGAGTTGAAAACTGAACTGTTTCAGATTTAATTAAAATTGAAAATTAAAAATTTCTAACTGATCTACACTTTACTGTTAAATAACTGATATAACAGCAGATCAAACAAAAAAGTAACTGGGAACTGGGGTGAAAATCATTCCTACACCCCTGCTGGAAAGAACCACTGAAGTTATATTGGTTTAACGGGTAGTAGGAGCAAATGAGATACATAAACCATCACCCATTCAAATTGATACGTGGACCCTGATTGACCTTTCAATTCGTGGAATTGGTAACATGTTATTCAGCTCTTAAATGTTAAATATTTTCACGGTCAGATCGCCTATTTAATCATTTATCTATTTATATCTGACCGCCGTATTTTAGTATTTTACAGGATGAGTTTCAATTACAGTTATTCTTGTTCCAATGTTTTGCACGTTGTGAGCGGTGGTAGGAGGGTGGCAGGAGGGTGGCAGGAGGGTGGCAGGAGGGTGACAGGAGGGTGGCAGGAGGGTGGCAGCAGGGTGGAAGGAGGGTGGCAGGAGGGTGGCAGGAGGGTGGCAGGAGGGTGACAGGAGGGTGGCAGCAGGGTGGCAGCAGGGTGGCAGGAGGGTGGCAGGAGGGTGGCAGCAGGGTGGCAGGAGGGTGGCAGGAGGGTGGCAGGAGGGTGGCAGGAGGGTGGCAGGAGGGTGGCAGGAGGGTGGCAGGAGGGTGGCAGGAGGGTGGAAGGAGGGTGGCAGGAGGGTGGCAGGAGGGTGGCAGGAGGGTGGCAGGAGGGTGGCAGGAGGGTGGCAGCAGGGTGGCAGCAGGGTGGCAGCAGGGTGGAAGGAGGGTGGCAGGAGGGTGGCAGGAGGGTGGCAGGAGGGTGGCAGGAGGGTGGCAGGAGGGTGGCAGGAGGGTGGCAGGAGGGTGGCAGGAGGGTGGCAGGAGGGTGGCAGGAGGGTGGCAGGAGGGTGGCAGGAGGGTGGCAGGAGGGTGGCAGGAGGGTGGCAGGAGGGTGGCAGGAGGGTGGCAGGAGGGTGGCAGGAGGGTGGCAGGAGGGTGGCAGGAGGGTGGCAGGAGGGTGGCAGGAGGGTGGTAGGAGGGTGGCAGGAGGGTGGCAGGAGGGTGGCAGGAGGGTGGCAGGAGGGTGGCAGGAGGGTGGCAGGAGGGTGGCAGGAGGGTTGCAGGAGGGTGGCAGGAGGGTGGCAGGAGGGTGGCAGGAGGGTGGCAGGAGGGTGGCAGGAGGGTGGCAGGAGGGTGGCAGGAGGGTGGCAGGAGGGTGGCAGGAGGGTGGCAGGAGGGTGGCAGGAGGGTGGCAGGAGGGTGGCAGGAGGGTGGCAGCAGGGTGGCAGGAGGGTGGAAGGAGGGTGGTAGGAGGGTGGCAGGAGGGTGGCAGGAGGGTGGCAGCAGGGTGGCAGGAGGGTGGAAGGAGGGTGGCAGGAGGGTGGCAGGAGGGTGGCAGGAAGGTGGCAGGAGGGTGGCAGGAGGGTGGCAGGAGGGTGGCAGGAGGGTGGCAGGAGGGTGGCAGCAGGGTGGCAGCAGGGTGGCAGGAGGGTGGCAGGAGGGTGGCAGCAGGGTGGCAGCATGGTGGCAGCAGGGTGGCAGGAGGGTCGTAGGAGGGTGGCAGGAGGGTGGCAGAAGGGTGGCAGGAGGGTGGCAGGAGGGTGGCAGGAGGGTGGCAGGAGGGTGGCAGGAGGGTGGCAGGAGGGTGGAAGGAGGGTGGCAGGAGGGTGGCAGGAGGGTGGCAGGAGGGTGGCAGGAGGGTGGCAGGAGGGTGGAAGGAGGGTGGCAGGAGGGTGGCAGGAGGGTGGCAGGAAGGTGGCAGGAGGGTGGCAGGAGGGTGGCAGGAGGGTGGTAGGAGGGTGGCAGGAGGGTGGCAGGAGGGTGGCAGGAGGGTGGCAGGAGGGTGGCAGGAGGGTGGCAGCAGGGTGGCAGCAGGGTGGCAGGAGGGTGGCAGGAGGGTGGCAGGAGGGTGGCAGGAGGGTGGCAGGAGGGTGGCAGGAGGGTGGCAGGAGGGTAGTAGGGGGTGGTAGGAGGGTGGAAGTGGCACGCACCAAAATCAGAAGCTAGAATTTCCCATACTGTATATTCTGGAATCAAGATAATTTTATTTTAAAAATCAACGCTTATTATTATACAACTAGAATTGGAGGTTCTTATCTCCTAGTTTCCCAGCCTATTCGTTAATGAACGTAGGAAAGCTTAAAATAAACTTATTTTCAGTTATAACGGGCGGACTTTAAAATTTGATATAACTTATTACATCAAATGTAAAACTGAAAGAATGGGAATAAAGCGAGCGACCGATTTTATTCTCATTTCTCGGTGTCATACTTATTTGGGAACGGTCATTCATTAGTAAATATTTATTTTTTGGGGAACACCTACCTCATCCACTAAATATAATGGGTCAATAATGATAAATCACTAAATATACAGTTACACTAGACTATCACGTGACTAACTTTAATCACAGTGCTAGCTGGCAAGCATTACCGTTGCCATGCCCTTATACCACCATATAATACTACATATTATATCCCCTTTACTGTTCATTCAGGCATTAAGGCTCATTGGAAGTCGTTCAGCAGGCATATTTAAGTTCAAACATTCTCATTCGATGTCAAAGATGACAGAAATAAGAAATAGTTATGTGGAGGTTTTTAAGAAATTTGCGCAAAATACGCGCCAGCACTGTTGTACGAAATTCGGTTAAAAAACCCAAAATCGACATATTCAGTAGGGACTACGGGTAGAAGATGAATAATAATATGAAGATTAAAATTCCAACAGCATCTTGTTCCCTTCATTGTGCTGATTCCGGGAAGCATTCTGTTTACGCTCTCATCATTCTGTAGAATGAGATATCGTTCATTTAAAATTGGGTAATTATAGGCCTGTCAAGGATTGCAACCCAATTAAGAGCTGATCAATTGCAGCTCCTTGTGCCATATAAGGGATAACTGAGGTCACGTGACAGTCGTCCCTATCACGTGACCTTGATTCGTAAATCCTCGAGCACGTGATCACATTCGTAACGTGTCGTATGCCGACTTTCTCAGAACTTTCTCAGAACTTTCTCAGAAAGTTCCTCCCAGCTTGCCAAAACGGAACTCGAACAAATAAACCCTGTTTACAACGAGATAACATCACGTGATCGAATCACGTGTTTTGATAAAAAAGCAAGAGACTAAGGGGTATGGAGCACACTGCTTTTCATGTGTTTTATACACTGACCATGAGTTCCTTCAGACAAATTTTATTAAAGATTATCTTTTGTGGGGACCGAGGGTTCATCGTCCGAGTATTAAGCAGACACTCCTCATCACTATGTTCGTAGAAATATTTCCTTTACCCTCATGAGCTGTTGTCCATATAGATTGTTTTAACAATTGATCAATGTTTCTCATGTGTTTTATACACTGACCATGAGCTCCTTTACACAAATTGTACACCCTTTGACGAATCATGGAACCGACCGGACAATAGTGGCGCAGACGACTAAACACCTCTATCACGCACACAATACCCTCGTACACTTCTATCACGCACATTACAGCATAGTTTATACTACCCTCGTACACTTCTATCACGCACATTACAGCATAGTTTATACTACCCCCGTACACTTCTATCACGCACATTACAGCATAGTTTATACTACCCTCCTACACTTCTATCACGCACATTACAGCATAGTTTATACTACCCTCCTACACTTCTATCACGCACATTAAAGCATAGTTTATACTACCCTCGTACACTTCTATCACGCACATTACAGCATAGTTTATACTACCCTCGTACACTTCTATCACGCACATTGCAGCATACTTTATACTACCCTCGTACACTTCTATCACGCACATTACAGCATAGTTTATACTACCCTCGTACACTTCTATCACGCACATTACAGCATAGTTTATACTACCCCCGTACACTTCTATCACGCACATTAAAGCATAGTTTATACTACCCTCGTACACTTCTATCACGCACATTACAGCATAGTTTATACTACCCTCGTACACTTCTATCACGCACATTGCAGCATACTTTATACTACCCTCGTACACTTCTATCACGCACATTGCAGCATACTTTATACTACCCTCGTACACTTCTATCACGCACATTACAGCATAGTTTATACTACCCTCGTACACTTCTATCACGCACATTGCAGCATACTTTATACTACCCTCGTACACTTCTATCACGCACATTACAGCATAGTTTATACTACCCTCGTACACTTCTATCACGCACATTACAGCATAGTTTATACTACCCTCGTACACTTCTATCACGCACATTACAGCATAGTTTATACTACCCTCGTACACTTCTATCACGCACATTACAGCATAGTTTATACTACCCTCGTACACTTCTATCACACACATTACAGCATAGTTTATACTACCCTCGTACACTTCTATCACGCACATTACAGCATAGTTTATACTACCCTCGTACACTTCTATCACGCACATTACAGCATAGTTTATACTACCCTCGTACACTTCTATCACGCACATTACAGCATAGTTTATACTACCCTCGTACACTTCTATCACGCACATTACAGCATAGTTTATACTACCCTCGTACACTTCTATCACGCACATTACAGCATAGTTTATATTACCCTCGTACACTTCTATCACGCACATTACAGCATAGTTTATACTACCCTCGTACACTTCTATCACGCACATTACAGCATAGTTTATACTACCCTCGTACAGTTGTAAACTAAGAACTAATGATACTGGATAACTAATAATAAATAATCGTGCACTTGGCCGGGGGAGTTCCGGACATTTTACCCAACATTTTTTGTCAGGTTGGCATGTAGAGATACCAGTTGGTAGTACTACACATACCAGTTGGTAGTACTTAATAATTTTTTTCCCTACTCTTGCCGAAGGCAAAAAGATCGTAGGGAATAAGTAATCGGGTTTGGATATATGAGGTGGCCCGATGGACCTGCGATGATGACAAAAGTCTGCTCCTTCGAAATATAGACCACTCCCCTATAATTAAGTGTATAGGAAGCGTCTGTTATGCTGAGCGCGACGCTAGCCGTGTGTTAATTAATTACAGTGAAATTCCTCCTTCGCAAAGTTATTTTCCGCAATTTTCTGGATTCATTTATTGTTGATGTGCGGCGCTGCATTGGTCAAATAAATCGTCAATTTTTACCAGGCACGAATCCCACTCATTTATAAAAAACATAGTTTTAGTATGTAAATATGGTGCACTTTTATTTCCAGTCACACTTTTCACTTAAAAGAATTAATGTTGACGGATGTTACTCGTCTAAATTTCTTCGAAGTAGCGCACGCCGCTTTCTTCTCGAAATGGCCCGATGGCACGAGCTACGAAGTAGCGCGCGCCGGGCCATGGCCAGATCATTAACAATGGTCAAGAATTAATGGTACAAGTACATGGTAGGGAAAATTGATCGTGCGTGGTTTAACCGCGGCGAAATTCTTGTTTTTTGTGAAACTTGGTTTCGACATAGCAGTTGACCCAACTAATTTGAGAGGGTCTCGGACCCCAACCGCCAAATGGTACCTGCAGGGCGGCCACGCCCATATTTGGTCCAAATTAGGCCCAATTTAGCTTGTAGCGCGATGCGTTACTGTGCGTTACTGTTACCTGGCTAGATCGGCGAGATGCGCTACTGTGCCGCGCCGAGCTGCCATGAATTGACATCGTCAATTAAAATTTAGCCAAATACCCTGAACATGGCCAAAACCCAAGTTTTAGTTTTACTTGTAGCTAGTGGTCCCCTGAACTCGTATATGAATTTTCATTAAAATTGGACAAACAATGACTAGGCTATGTGAGTATGAGCTAAAACCTATACGCCCGCGCCATATTTGGGCATATGCGCCTAATTTGATCGATTTTTGCCCATAAATTGATCAAATATCAATATTTTTGAATGAAACCAACTTTATATAAAAGGTAAGCCTAAACTACACATTCTCTACGATTATAAGCTCAATATCTACCTAACTTTGGATTCTGTATTCAAATAATCGTAAACAATGAACAAAATCGCCCATATCTCAGTTTGCGATATTTGCATTGCAAAACTGATTTCGCTCAAAACATGCACAATAGAACTCAATAGGGTTTCAATTTTCTTTCATGAAATTTTCAGAATCAACGTAGAATTGCATTTCTGTATTCAGATCAGTACCTTACAGTAGTAGATCAGTTGCTGAGAGCGGGCTCCTCGTTTATATGGAGCACTCTCTGAGCAACTAATGTGATATCAATTCTGCTTTCCCGCCAAATTTGGCTCGAAAGTGTAATAATATTAGTTAACTTGTGTTAATACCTTACCATACGTCTACACGTAATCAAACAAATAAACCCTGTTTACAATGAGATAACATGACGTGATCGAATCACGTGTTTTGATAAAAAAGCAAGAAACTGAGGGGTATGGAGCACACTGCTTTTCATGTGTTTTATACACTGACCATGAGTTCCTTCAGACAAATTTTATTAAAGATTATCTTTTGTGGGAACCGAGGGTTCATCGTCCGAGTATTAAACAGACACTCCTCATCACTATGTTCGTAGAAATATTTCCTTTACCCTCATGAGCTGTTGTCCATATAGATTGTTTTAATAATTCATCTTGATATGACCCTCTGATTTACTGTACATGTCTTTGATGATGTCGTAGTAGCCGCCGTTGACGCCATAGCAGGCTAGTTTGAACAGGAGGGCTTGTCTGCACACTAGATCAAACGCTTTTCGGAGATCAATGAACACTGCATATATTTTACTTTTCACTTTCTTGTATTTTTCGATTGTGGACATCAGCGTGAATATATGGTCATTACATTGACTTCCTTTGGTAAAGCCTGCTTGATTAGGTGGATCTGGATGAGAGATTTGGCGGTGAGTGACAAGCCGAGATAGCAGCATCGTGGAGAGCAGTTTCCCAATACAGCTACATACTGCTATTGCTCTATAGTTGTCAGGGTTCCTGATGCACCCTTTTTTGTGAATCGGTGTGATCACACTTTAGCTCCAGAGGTAGGTTCCTGTCTCAAGGCACAGATTGAAGAGTTTAAGGAGGAGGGACCTCATTTTCACGTTCAAACCCTTGAGCATTTCATTGCTTATGTGGTCAAAAGCAGATGCTTTGCCACATTGATTGTGGTGTCTAGTGGTTAAGTTTACTAGCAGGAACCCTTATTACCCTAAAATGGTGTCAAGACTCAAGAGACTAAAATAATTATTACCTATTTAATTCGCGTTTTTGACACCACTTGGGGGTCCAAATTTTGGGCTCTAAAATCACTAATTCTTGGCCAATTTTTTATTTTTTCATGCTGAATTGGAGGCCATTAAAGCATTTGACCCAGTCAAAAAAGTTTCAGTTCTATATCTTTTACGGTTTTTGCGGAAATTCGCTTTAAAGTTGATGCCGTGGTGTCAGTAAAATGGCACGGATAAATAAATATATATATATATCGTCTCGCTTTATATATAGTAAGATAAGATATTCATTATAATACAAATGCGACCAGCACGAGGTACGTACAAAAACTTAAGGAACAAAAGTCTTGAAAACAAGCTGCTGTAACACCGGATAACGACAATTTGTCGTTAGCTTGTAGTTGTAGATGCAACAGATTGTTTCATAGTTTTTCTTGGGCAACTCCAAATGATTACGCTACTGTAATTTTGACACAAAAGCTATGTTTAAAACTGATTACAGAGGGGGAAGGTAGTTACAAATTGGCCAGAAGTGATGTGTGAACGGCCCCTAACGGTACGTGGATTTCTATGATGTATCTGAATAACTAATGAACATACATGGATTTTGCAGGCAGAATATCCAGCGAAAACTTTTATTTTAGATATGTAGAGAAGAAATGATCAGATGCTCATTTGAAATAATAACAGCAAAATAATTTAATCAATGAGGCCGCGCAAAATCCATGGATATTCATTATTTATCACTTATCAGTATCTTAATCAGGTTAGTTATAGTTTTGGTGACTGTGATACCGCTGGATAAGGATTCAGATACACCTTGTCATACGTTGTATGACCCGCCGCGCACGAGTGCGCGGCTCCCCCTGTATCGTACAAACTCTACAGTTTCACTATAGTGAAACGACGATGGGTGTCACGACGTGATACAAGATACACCTTAGAAATCCACATACCGTTAGGGACCGTTCACACATCACTTCTGGCCAATTTTTAACCCCCTTCTCCCTCTTAGTCTTATCTGTAACCAGTTTTAAAGGGACATACTGAAATATTGATAATTTAGTCATTTTAAAATATTTTTAGCTGATGTTTTTACAGAACATTACTTACAATCCGTAGAAGAAGCCCTTTAAAGAATTATATAATCAAACAATAAATGACGAAGTTACAAACCGAACAAGGTCGAGAGAAGCAAAATTGAAATTTTTGGGTTCCCGTACTGTAGTGCGACACGTACCCTAGTGCGAAACATACCCTAGTGCGAAACCTTCAAGATCGACACTGTCGCACTACAGTACGCTACCTGGAATGTACTGCGACACGAACTAAAGTGCGACAAAAAACTACACATTCAATAAAATTTGAAATTACAATACAATGTTTTTAAGTTTTAATGACAAGAGTGTAGTCGTGTATGAGTATTGCATTGGGGTTAAATATTAAATCAAAAATATTTCATTAAATATTACACTTCAAATAGTCCATTCTGTGTTCCAACACACTTCAAATAGTCCATTCTGTCATAATCATCGTAGCAATCAATCTCAGCGTTCAGGTGACGGTCGTAATCGATCCACTTCTTCAGTCGGGGAGGAGGTGGTTGTCTGAGCATCTTCTGGTTGATCTTCCACTGGGTTAGATCCTGCTCCTTCTTCAGGACGTCGATAAATCGCCAGATAGTAGGGTTGGTGCAGCCCATCAAGGATCGAAAACCGTTGTACCAACCCTCAGCAATGTAGAATTTAAGATATATATACATATCACCGGAGACTCGCGGGCGGAACAAAATATTGCACGCGCACGCGCGTGCAATATTTCATATGTCCCCGAGGGCGCTAGCCCGAGGAGGACATATTTTCGTATAGCACGGAGGGCCCATCGGGCCCGAGTGCTATACGATTTTTCCGCCCGCGGGTCGAGGTGATGTGGATTATATCCACCAGCGGGCGTATTACAGTTAATATATAATTTTATAAATAAACAATGGAGCTTGTATAAAAGTCAACTCTAGAAAAGGTCGCCACTAATAGTTGTAACCATGGTAACACGTCACGTGTTCAATGTAAGCCAATCATAAAGGGCTGTGTCGTATATAGGGGCTGGAGATGCACTGCATTCCTGGGCCGTGGGAATAATGAATGTAATGTCAGTGACGATGAATATCAATAATATAGGGGGATTATAGTGCTGATGTGTATTATGTAGTGTGTTATAATAACTTTGATATAAATCAAAGTATCATGTCATCTGCTCACGAGCTGCATGAGCAGCCCTACCGGACACAAAAATAAAATGTATATATTATAGTCAGTGTATTAAGGAATTTCACATGGAGACGATACAGAAACTGAAAATATTTTAGAGAACTCCGGGCTATATTGCTACTGGTCAAATTAAATGTCACTTGTTAGCGGGCTATATCATGAGCGGGCTGTAGAGATATCGGGTCCTTTGACAGCGGGCTGGTGAGAGCCCGCTATGCGAAAAAGCGCACGCTGGTGGATATAATATAATTTAGTTACCATGTATTTTTGGAGCCGAACAGCATAAGTATATTGTGAAGTCATGTACACTGTCACATTGCAAGCTGTTATATGTTTTATGTGGTAAATGGAAATTCATAAAACGGAGTACGCATACACTTGAAGACTTGAAGACTCAATCAGCTGATCAGTGATCACCTCATATTATTTATTATATTTATAATTATTATAATACAAATGCGAACAGCACGAGGTACGTACAAAAACTTATGGAACAAAAGTCTTGAAAACAAGCTGCTGTAACACCGGATAACGACAATTTGTCGTTAGCTTGTTATAGTTGTAGATGCAATTCAATACGGAAAGTTTAAGTTGCAATTACTTGATAAGATAATAAACCGGATGATGTACCAGATGATACAAGTTTGATTGAGCAATTTGACGACATAATCAGATGTTAACCAAAGAATGTAGTCCCATCATTGAACGACGTGCAGGTATACAAGCAGCAAATCTTTAACTGACCCTGGGAACTAGCTGAGCTCACTTATCTTTTTCACAATCTAATGATGATCTCTCTGACAATTCTACTCGCAGTGGTGGGACTAGCCGCCAGTGGCACCGCCAGGGACACCAGCTACAACAAGATCATCAACTTCCCCGCTGCTAGCAACGCCAACTACATCAGCTTCAACCCTGAACTTCCTGCCCTGACTGGATTAACTGTGTGTGCTTGGAAGCAGGACAAGGACAATGGACGAGCCAGATACTGGTTCAGCTACGCAGTTCCTGGAAACGATAACGAGCTCATCTTGGGAGACGCAAATGGTATGCACAAATTTTATGTGAAGAGAACCGTGACTCAATCTTATATATCCACCAGCGTGCGCTTTTTCGCATAGCGGGCTCTCACCAGCCCGCTGTCAAAGGACCCGATATCTCTACAGCCCGCTCATGATATAGCCCGCTAACAAGTGACATTTAATTTGACCAGTAGCAATATAGCCCGGAGTTCTCTAAAATATTTTCAGTTTCTGTATCGTCTCCATGTGAAATTCCTTAATACACTGACTATAATATATACATTTTATTTTTGTGTCCGGTAGGGCTGCTCATGCAGCTCGTGAGCAGATGACATGATACTTTGATTTATATCAAAGTTATTATAACACACTACATAATACACATCAGCACTATAATCCCCCTATATTATTGATATTCATCGTCACTGACATTACATTCATTATTCCCACGGCCCAGGAATGCAGTGCATCTCCAGCCCCTATATACGACACAGCCCTTTATGATTGGCTTACATTGAACACGTGACGTGTTACCATGGTTACAACTATTAGTGGCGACCTTTTCTAGAGTTGACTTTTATACAAGCTCCATTGTTTATTTATAAAATTATATATTAACTGTAATACGCCCGCTGGTGGATATAATCCACATCACCTCGACCCGCGGGCGGAAAAATCGTATAGCACTCGGGCCCGATGGGCCCTCCGTGCTATACGAAAATATGTCCTCCTCGGGCTAGCGCCCTCGGGGACATATGAAATATTGCACGCGCGTGCGCGTGCAATATTTTGTTCCGCCCGCGAGTCTCCGGTGATATGTATATATATCTTATACCAAGATAATTAAGGTCAAGTGGATCCACGTGTGTGGTGCCTGGGACTCAGAGACTGGAAATGCCGTCATCAGTATCAACGGAAAAGCAGTAAATACTGTCGTGGTCAAGAAAGGAGAGGCTTTGAGAGCAGGAGGTAATCTGGTTATCGGCCAGGAGCAGGACACTGTAGGAGGAGGGTTCGACTCTAACCAAGCATACATTGGAAACCTCTACAACATCAACATGTGGGACAGAGCTCTCACTCAAGCTGAAATTGCTTCTATGTTCAATGAAGGTATGTGTGGGATCTTCTTTGCTGGTTTGAGTGGTTCGGAACCAATCATCTCTTACGCTGATATTCTGGCCAAAGAAATGCATGGAGACGTATCCGTCGTTGATGGGGAGTGCGATGTTGTCGAATGCCCCCCGGTTGTCGAATGCCCGGTTGTCGAATGCCCGGTTGTTGAATGCCCTGCTCTTTTCTGCCCTGAAAAAGAATGCCCTGTAACAGAATGCCCTGCTGTCACATGCCCTGAAAAAGAATGCCCTGCTGTCAAGGAATGCCCTGTTGTCGAAGAAATAGAATGCCCTGCAAAAGAAGAATGTTCTCTGCCTGCTAGAGATTGCCCCGGTATCGAACCTCACCAACCAGCCTGCTGGAAGCCTCTAGAGGAAACCAGGTTCAAGGGAGGTGTGAGCATTGGTTACATTGAAGGAGACATAAACGCAGCCAAGGCTGTGTGTTACGCCAGTGGAACATGCTTAGCTATATCTTGTGCGGAGAAAAAAGGAGCAGTTTCATGTCAACTGTTGACTTCATTCGGAAAAGAAAAGAAAGGCAAAGGTATGACATCATTTGTTTACACATGTTAAGCAGTGCCAGAAGTAGGTGAAATAAAGAACAATTAAATTAGAAGACGGTAGTTTCAAAATTGTGTTCAGTTCTTTTTTGTTCTTGATATTATTGTAAAACGTTCAAAACTTTAAAAAAGAATGCAATTTTGATAAAATTCACGTAGTTTCATTTTTGAAAAGACAAATTTAACGACCATTGAATGAGTACATTTTTTTAAGCTACAAAAATGAAACATCGGGTGACAGGAATAAAAAATAGTTGTGTGGAGGTCTTGAAGAAATTTGCGAAAAATACGCACCAGCACTGTTATAAAAGATTCGGTAAAAAATCCAAAATCGCCATATTCAGGTGCCTTAAAAACATGTTAAAATTAAGTTAGAGATCTGAAACTTTGCAGGGCGTCTAGACGTTGACCAAATCGATTGTACAAAAAGTTTCAAGTTTCAGGAGTATCGGGAAGTGGGTTTTCTGGAACCCCTGTTTTACAACAGATTGTCGTGAAGTATTATATCTATCTATTTATATATCTATTTGACCAAAACCCATAATCATGGGTAGAATGGACCGCTGCCAGTGTCTCTCTTTCCCAAAAAAAGGAAATGATATTAATTTGAATAACTGTCCGCAATATGCAAAATGATACCGAGAATGAAATCGGTCGCTCACTTTTCCCATTCATTCACGGCTTAAGAATTGTAATAAGTTTCGATTAATTATATCCATGACATGCTGTACAAATTTCTTTGGGTTGCTTTCGGGTCGATACCTAGTATTTCGGGATGAGGGTGGTAGTTAGTGTACAATTATAGCTGTTGTTTATCGAATCTGTATTGCCGAGTACTGCAGCTCTGCCTTCGGGTAGTTCTTCTTAATCTATTACAATTTTATATGAATGGGAAAAGCGAGCAACCGATTTCATTCTCGGCATCATTTTGCATTTGCAGACGGTTTAGGGCCTGTCGTGATATCATGGATCGCTTAGGTTCCACTGCGGCCTCTATGTATCGCCAGAGCTTGTTCTCCGAGCTCAAGCTGCTTGATCAGGCCTTATATGGAATAATATAGTGTATCGCGTGTAATTGGATCCAATTATAGGAGCTGCGTAATTATCGCAGCATATTGGTCTGGTATCACATGCTGAAACCCAGCATGCAGCTGGGCTAGATATTTTAGAAATAGAAGGATTGTTAATGAAAATCGAAGCGAAAATCATGTAACCCTAAGAGTATGTTTTCGAGGACTCTAAATGTAAGATTCAGTAAAACTCCGGTAGATTTACGTCATAAACCCCTAAATATATAACATGGTTAATCATCAATCATAAATATAATAATAAGTATATAACACCCTTCCAAGTTAATCGTAAAAGTCAACGTGAATTTAATGCCTCCTTAATTGCACATAAACTAAAAGAAGAACTCGCGTGCGCTGAAATATCTCAAAAGATGGTTTAGTCATTTTATCTACGAAACAATAACGCTTCCGCGCGTTAAGTAAAAACACATTCAAATCGTGACAGGTGAATTGCCCCACCGCAATTTTGAAAACTCAGGCAGTTAAACCAAAACTCGCGAATTTGAAAACGGGCAGTCACGAGATTAAAACACGAATTTCTACCTCATCTTCCCTTCCAAAATGGAAACTTCATATCTTCTTCAAAAAAAATCTCCCATAACTCGCAAATAGAGCATTATTTCACAATATAGCTGCAATAATAAATCACAAAATTTCCAATATAAATAGTTAATCACGTTCTGAACATCAAAAGAATAAATTAGCCCAACCTATAAAAATATAGTCGAAATGGCAAATTTATGGTAAATGTTAAAATGTCAAAATACACGGCGTAAAATCCGGTAACACTAATACACGGCTCAAATCACTTTATTCTACGAGAAACAACCAACTTAAACTCATCCTCCCTTCTGGCTATAGTTTAACCTATCAATAGGCTTGGTTACTCGACTGCTTGACCGGGTAAGTATTGCTATTAGTGGTGGTTTTGCTATGCTTTTAGAAGGACTGGGTTCAGCCACTGGATGCTCGTTAATAATCGCATGCTGGTCATGCTCATCATTATAAGGCTTGCTAAGACTAGGTGCTGGCGGACATTTACTAACATCAGATTCAATAGCAATGGGTAGGCGACTGTTATCAGTCTCAGATTGTGCTGGTTGTGCAGGTTGTAGCTGTACTGTATATCTCGTCTTGAGCTGGTTTATATGTTTATCAACTACACCGTTCTCTCCCAATATCCTGTACACCTTGCTTCCTTGTCTAGCTTGCACGGTACCAACTTGCCAACTTTGCTTCCTGATATCCTTATAACAGACCGGATCTCCTACCTTAAACTCTCTGAATAAACCCTGCTCTATAACCTCCTGTTCCTGTCGAGTATATAAGGGTTTACACGGATAAAGTAAAGATAATCTGGTGCGCGTGAGTCGTCCGAACATCAGAGCACTGGGACATTGCTTTGACACGTAGTAGTGTGGAGTATTCCGATACGTGAGTAACCAAGCTGCAAGATTCTTGTTGTAGTCTGGATCGGTAGCTTGCATCTTCTTTAGAGCTTTCTTAAATGTTTGCACCATACGCTCTGCAAGTCCGTTGCAATACGGAGTAGCAGGTGGAACTGAAATGTGATCAATTCCGTTACTCTCTAAGAATTCCTCCATTTCACTGGAGACTAACTGTGGTCCTCTGTCTGACACGACTAATCTCGGCAATCCGTAGCTCTTTAATTGTCGCTTGCTGTATGAATCGACGACTACGAACCATTGCCTGTCGAATAGCTGTGCAAATTCGATATGAATCCTCTCCCAAGCTCTTGTAGCCGGGATCCACGGATGTGGGGTCGTCTTCTGAGATTATTTTGATTCATCTGGCATGTGATATTCAGGTGCCTCAAAAATCATCTTAAAATTGAGTCAGAGATTTGGTATTTTGCAGGGCGTCTAGACGTTGACCAAATCGACAGCAAAATAGTTTCAAGTTTCAGGAGTATCGGGAAGTGGGTTTACTGGAACCCCTGTTTTACAACAGATTGTCGTGAAGTATATAATATATAATTATATATATTCTTTCAACACGTACTACTATATAACAAATATTTGAGGATGACTGTAAAGGTATATTTTACCGAATTTGAAGTCAAGGCGTTGTTTTATTGTAGCGCAATGCACTACTGGGCCGCGCCGCGCATCAAATAATTCTTCTCGCAATAATTCTCAAATAATTCTTCTCGGTAGATCGGCGAGATGCACCACTAGCTGTGCCTCACCGAGCTGCGAAGGATTGACATCGTGAATCAATTGTTTTACTGACAGTTGTGGCTGACTAACAATATATATATATATATATATATATATATGTATATAATTATATATGTATGTACAAGAAAAACGGCGATTCTACAAACTTAAAGTTTCATGTTGCTCTATCCAGAGCCCTTGCGCTTGCAGTGGCGCGCGCCCGCCTCACGACTTGTGAAACAAGCGCGCCCGCAGTGGCGCGAAAGAACATTATGGTTAGGTGAAGTTTCATGCAAACGCAATCATCAGTGTCAGATTCGAATAACTTATTATTACTAAATCCATATTTTCCTTACAGTTACAAGCTCATTCATAAAATTAACTGAACTAAATCAAAAACTAAATCAAAATCAAAACGAAACGAAACGAACCAAAAAAAAAAAAAACAATATTCCTAGAAGCATTTCTTTTGTAGGTTTACAACCTACCAGGATGCGCGCCGAGTTGGACTCGTCGACGGTTCTGTATGGAACAAATATTTTACGAGTATCACCCGTTAACATTTCTTGAGCATAAATTTATTGGTGTGCCTACATTTGCTAATAATAGGTAGTGCGCCATCGACAGTGAGCCGCGCGTGCCGACTGTAGGATGGTTTTTTAGCGCTAATTTCGGCCAGCACAATTTTCTTCAAACAAATAAATATTGAGTATCCTTCCCGACCTCCGATTGCAACAAAAATTGGTAAGCTTACTCATAGACTTACAAGGAAAGTGTCCGAAAAATTTAAAACATATCCAACCATCAAACATTATGTTACAGCTAAAAGCAGCGTATTTTACCCCATTTTGATCACTATATCAACTCCGATATCCACCAAATTTTTGGGACAGTTGTAAAAGCCCTATTGGAAGGTCGTCGCCAATTTTCAGAATGATCCCATTCAAGGAACTAAAGATATATCCAAATAATACGACAAAAATCAACGAATTTGGTCGAATTTGGTCAAATTACGCGACTTTTACAGCTACTTTTGCTCCAAAAGCCGCGCACCATCAAATATGGCACCTAGGCGAAATTCACTGATCTTTCCAAAAAGGTATGACAAATTTGGTATTGTGAAAATTCTCACAGTCTCTAGAAAACAATGGTACAAAAATTTTTAAAAACCGAGCAAGTTTATTTTTATCGTGCACCCCCTACTAATAAGTTCTTTCCTCCTATTTAGTAGATGGCGCACGTTATATCTCCGCCAAAAGCACATCCAATTTGATACGTATGCAATGTGTCTATAACTTTCTTGATTATGCACTAAGTTGGCGTTCCACAACCAAAATTGAACGGGGAATACTTTAAGATCAATTTCGAGGCACCTCGACAAAAGCTTCTTACGCTATTGTGCTTTTTATGGAGAAATACGTCAGTAGCGTTTTTGAGCTTGTTATTCTCTTTCAAAAGTATTCCGAGTGATTTGTATAAGTGCATATATTAACTCTGATTACATTGCAAAATAATTTGTCTCGATTCATGAAGTTTGAAAGAAGTTACAGCAATGCGCGCAATTTGGGGAGTGTGCTTTTTGCGGAGATATAAGTATAACCTGCGCCTTAGTAGATTGTCATTTTTATTTAAAATAATATAAAGTTTTTCAGCAAGGCAGAGATGACAATTTTTCGTACTTCCCTTATATACGGATGAGCAATAAATCCATTAATGAATTATGATATGCAAGTTCTAATTTTTAAAGTTTTGGTTTTTTATGAATGAACGATGGGGGTTGCATCGTAATTTTCAATTCTTATATTCACGTACAGCGTATATCATATATTAAATAAAATTATATTTTTATGTATTATATGATTTTGTAAACATTGGCCGGTGTACCAAAAACCGGTCCCCAAACAAAAAGCATGTTGGATTATTTTCCAAAATTTTTTATACGAGGTTTGTTTATCTTTCAACACTTATATTTTCTTAAACAGCTCCGTCTGGTTTCGCAGCTTCTCCGTCTCGAGTTTGATCAAAGAGCTTGTACGTATGTGAACTGAAACGGGTATAAAAAATACAAAATATTTGTGCTCTTTCTTTTCCTTTTCTACTAGCTGCAACCGTTGCTTCATATTATATCACTGCAGTTTCCAAGCATTGTCCTTTCAGTGGGCACATTTCCGGCTTCCTGCAAGTGCATTTGCACGATTCAATTATAAAATCCCAAAAAACCTTACTGGCTGGAGCCTATCTCCAAAACAGGGACAAAAGGATTTCGCGATTATTTTGGCCAAATTTCGCGGTACCGCGAAATTTAACAGGCTGTACATTAAACTACACATAAAATTTGTCGCGGAGAATGGGAAATTTCGCGATTTCGTACATGCCGCGAAATCCTTTTGTCCCTGCTCCAAAAGTAAAATAAATAAAAACTTTCGTCGGTTTTTTGGGCCGAATAAAATGGCGCGCGCGCGACAGCAGCAGTTAGCAGCAGTCATCAGCAGTTAGTAGCAGTTAGCAGCAGTTAGCAACAGTCAGCAGCAGTTTTTTGCACTAGAGTCCCCCTGTGATCGTAGCTCGATGCGTTACTGAGCCGCGCATCGCATCCAATATTTTTTGTTCTCGCAACCACTTTCTCGCAACTACTTCGTTAAATTAAATCGGCGACATGCGCTAATGCGTTACTTTCTACTGGGCCTCGCCGATGGGCCTTGACGATGTCAAGAATTGACATCGTCAATTATTGGAGGACTTCGCCGCTTCGACGCGCCGCGCGAATTAGCATTCTTGCTTCGCAGAGCAACGATCTGGAAGGGTCGACATTACATCGTCAATCAATGTCAATTAATGCATCTCACAATTACTATAAATTTATTGATACACATTATATATTACTAACGTTAACATTAGTGTATTACTTTATCCAGAGCCCTTGCGCTTGCAGTGGCGCGCGCCCGCCTCTTAACTTGTGAAACAATCGCGTCTGCAGTGGCGATTTATTGTATTTGATTTAGGAAGTGATTCATGTAGCTCACACGTACGTTTTTTCCGCCCCAAATCTGAACGGGAAATATAATTCTCGATGGGTCAGTAACTGTAAATAATAAAATTATCCATCAGCCATGGTAGTGATTTACAGTATGACCAATGACACCGAAACCTCGTGTCTCGGTATCCCTTTAAATGGCAGTTTGTGGCATGGTGTCCAGGCTAGACTCCTCTGATTACTGATATCGATTAATATGTTTATAATAATAAATCAACTTTGATACCAGTTATTATTAGCGTGGCTGACATGAATTCAAAATCAATTTTTGTGATAGCAATTTTCATCGCAGCTCAGCGCGGCACAGTAGTGCATTTCGCCGATCTAGCGAGGAGAAGCCTCATTGAGTGCACGGCGCGGCACAGTAACGCATCGCGCTACAATAGCAGCTCAGCTGCTAAGCAGCTGACCAACGAATTTTGGCCTGTGACTGCGAGCGTGCTAAATCACTCTACAGTCGATCTTTGAGATTGTTCTAAAAGGGCCCTCAACGGTTGTAACCAACTTCCATCGATGTATTTTCGAACGCTGATTCCGAATCACCCCCCATGATATAGGGTTAAAATGCTCACCTGACGAGATATTGGCGTTTTCCTTAAAAAGTTTTCCTTAAAAATTTTGCTTTCATTAATATTTGATCATCTCTAGACATCTCCCTTCATGAATTATAATGTTGAGAGCATTGTTTACGGTACAGGCTAGATCCGATTAAATTATCAAGATATTTTTATGAAAATTTTTGATGATCTTATATATTATATAATTATGTTTTGATTCGATTTTCTGGGTCACGAAATCCTCTCCGAACCTCCACGTGGTGTGGCCTGGTTGGCACTAACGGGTGGTGTGCTCTCTTGTTGAGTACAAAGGTTGGGACTTGCCAACTCAAAGTTCCCATAGGAACCAGGAAGTCAACACTAACAGCTACCAAGCACCAGGAAATTTTTCTTTCAGATATCAGGTTACAAGATAGTACACACACAAACGACGATACGTTAGACACAGATACATAGCTCTAAGAGCTATTAAATCACCAGGAAATTCTCTTTCAGCTTTCAGGTCCCATCGAAGTCACCCACCACAGAGCTAGGGATCCCAATTCGCTCATCCTGACTACAAGGACACACTGATAATGAGTAGTCTTGGCACTTCTCCCTCCAGTAACCACTTTTCAGGTCTTTTCAGTTAAGACAGCTAATGCGTTGGGGCTGACACACGCTAGACACAGGCTCGTGATAAGACAGTGTTAGGGATGTCAACTCTGACTACGAGGACACACTGATAGCGAGAATTCCTGGCACTTCTTCCTCCAGTAACCACTTTTCAGGGGACCGGGTTAGCTTTGCCACACTCTTTATTGATGTGTGACTGGACGCTCTACAATCATCTAGTAGCCAGCAGTGTTTGAATGACACCCCTACTGCAACTGGTTCTATTCAGTTCTACAGCGGAAGTTCTCAACACTCGAAAACAGTTCATCTCGGACATCCTGCAGAGATGCTTTTTCACAGCCTGCCCCATTACACGGGGAACCCTTAGATCTACAGTACCCTGGTGAACAGCATAGCTCACTAAAGCATAGTGGACTTCTTTAGTTCTGTGACGCAAAGCTAACCGGACCAGGAATAAACATCATTGCAATGCTTAGGGGATGCAAATAGGACATACAACGTTTAACGATTTACTCGAACTTTTGATTCATTTTTTAGCTCGACGATACATGGTATCATTTCAGGACAGATATTCCTTCTTCAGGTTCATTGAGGAAATTGTACCCGCTATTTGCGTTATACATGGCAAGTATCTGGACTAATGATAACTTAGGATCTCAGATTCCCAGGCTGCATTTAAAGCGCTTAACAGCACCAGTTTTAACTCCAGGTTTGTTCTGAACATCTCAGACCAACTCAACTCACTAGGTATTCTCATCGAGTAGAACTCCAGGACATGAAGGAGTATACGGTAAAGAACTAGCGGACGAATTCGCAAGGGACGATCAATCCAACAACATCCCCATAGGACCAGAACCCTTCCTCCCAATTAGGCCACACTCAGTGACAAAGGAACATTCCACTTGAGATGTTCCTCCACAAATATAAATACAGGAACTTTAATTTTTCTGGAACTCACATCAGATGGCTTACATGGTCGCTTTCAGGATAGGTCACAGCCCACTAGTTTATTTTCAGAACGTGGCAAACAACGTCAACTTCGAGACGCAAGATTGTGAACACTTTTCAGGAGAAGCAGAAACATCCCAGCACCTCCTCTGCAAGTGCATCCAGATCATGACGTTCAGAATGAGGATAATTGGTAAACTCTACCTTAAAAACAGTAAACTACAATCATATCTTCAAATTTGTGGAACAGTCGACAAGACTGGATAGGGAAAACCCTTTTGGGTAACCTCCTAGGATTCTTCGCCAGGAACTTTCGCTAAATCCCATACTAGGAACTCAACCTAGGCCCATCTCTGCATAGAGACATATCTCCCAGGCTTTGACCTTGCTCGGAAGTCCCTTGTCTGCCCGCAGAAGTACTACAACGGAAGTGGGTTTGCTCTGAGACAGGTAGTGACAGCTTCAAGACTCCAGGGGTCTGTTGCATTGATATTTATTATTTTATGATTTCGTATATACTTTGGGAGTCCTGGCGTGCAGCTAGCAGGAGTTGCATTCTGTGGGCACGGTGAGAAGGCCTCCATCTTTTAGTAAGAGGCCAGAAACCGTTGACCAGAACAGAGAGAGAGAGAGAGAGATTCGATTTTCTGATTTGTATCACCTAGTCTAGGGTGTGAGCTAACGATTCCATTGGATCTTTGCAAAATTACACATCCGTGTAAAATCTCGTCTATTATCTCAGACGAACGGTCAGGAAGATATTTCTCTCAAAGATCAAGTATCTTCTTAGGATACCCCTCAGTGGCGTAACGTTGCCTGTTGAATCGTTGATGCCCCCTGCTGAAAAAGTGCCCCACCTGTTGGCGTTCCCTCTCCTTTTGGCGCCCCTCCCTAAAATTAAACAAATTAGATGCTTTTAGAGGATACACTGGTAAAATCTCTAAAAATTTGTGTTTCTAGAGCAAAACATGCAGTTTTGCTTGTACTGTAGTTAAGTTTTTCAAAATTGTCCCACATTCAAACGACGATTTGGCGCCCCCTAAGATGGTGCCCCCCCCCCACACAGTCGGGGGGCCCTTCATTACGCCACTGATACCCCTTCAATACATTACATAAATGCGCACTGTAAACAAAGCACTATACTATTCTATTTAAGATTTATTGACTATGAATATTCCTTTAGGAAAAAAATGGGTACACGGCTCATTCTGCCTCATGAAGTTCCCAATCATTGGGATAAAGTGTTAGATGTTCTGTGTCATGTGAAATGGTCTCCTATGGATCTCATCTCTGCTATTGACAATATCAGAAAATACTCCTACAAACAAGTTAAAGAAATGCCGGCTGCGAGTCGGTTTTCAGGATTTTTAGGTTTTTTGAAGGATGCCAGTTGTGTTGGGGGGAATCCTGACCTGTTTTGGGGAGACTGTGGTTTTTCACATCATAATCCAGATTCATTTGTAAAAGGATGGTTTTTAGCTCACACTGTTCCATTTATTGCTCAGCTTGTTATGGACATGCCTCAAACCTTCCCATCTGGACTATCAACTTTGAATACAGCAGATGATCATATCCAAATGACATGCCTTACCAAACACCAGTGTGCTTCATTGTTAGCCTGCTCATTTTTCTCTGCATTTCATCATAGTGCCGCTCCAAAGAAGACAACAATAAACTTTGACGGCATATTTATAACTCTCAATCAGAAATGTCCTCAAAACGTTGCTAAACTCTGTATGATAATGAACTATTTTGAGAGATGTAGGTTGAAAATGTATAATGCATCTCAAGCATTGATAATCAATAGGCTACACAATATATCACCTTATACAGCTAGTAAATGGGCTTCAATCACATCACCTCTATCTGAGTTCACAGTTGATGAAAATGGATCCATCAATGATGCAGGTCCGGAGTCACTTCATGCTGACTTTGCAAATAGGTGGATTGGTGGTGGGGTTTTGAAACGGGGTTCAGTTCAAGAAGAGATAATGTTCTCTATTTGTACTGAGCTGCTCACTACAATACATATCTGTGACATGATGAATGACAATGAAGCAATTGTGATCACTGGTGCTGAGGACTTTTCTTTACACAAGGGATACAGCAGAGACCTCAAGTTTATTGGAAATGCTCCCACGTCTCAAGATGTGGTGAGCAGAGTGGCTATGGACGCAACACGTTTCAGAGGAGACAAGGATCACATGAGACAATACAGTGAAGCTGTTATTTTGAGAGAGCTCAACAAAGCTCATGTTGCTTTTAATCATGAGTATCCAGCTCCTGGTGCACCTGTTGCTACAGGTAATTGGGGCTGTGGAGCGTTTGGGGGCCACATTCAGTTGAAGTCTATGTTACAGTGGATTGCTGCCAGTGCCTGCTCGAGACCTGTTACCTACTTTACCTTCAAGGACCCAAACTGCAGTGGAATGGGAGAGATGACGAGGTTCCTGAAAGAGAAGAACTTGACTGTAGGAAGGTTGTTTGAGGAGGTGAGATTATTTGCTGCTCAGATTGAGCCTCAAGACAAACCTAAAGATGAATTGTTTCAACACTTGTGGGCTACCTTTAAAGATTAAATGCACAAAGGCTTTGGGATTAAGAGCAGGAAAAACAGTGATTTTTTGCTTGTTTTTTTTTGTTTTATACCATGCTTGATTAAAAATTAAGTTTAGATAATATTCAGAAGTAATTGAGAGATTATGATATCTAGATAATTTGTTGCCTGTTTCATATTTAATTAAGTTCAGTTTTTTGATATTATCTATGTTTTGATTTTGATGCTTTTAATTACTTTACATTACGAGGACATATTTACAGTTTATTAGTTGGTGTTTTTATGTTCGAAAAATGCTGATATTAGAATTCAATTTTAGGCAATATTTGTAACGTTATTTGTGTACACCTTCACACTGCATGCATTCCAGTCTACTTAAAACTATTAACACTATACTTTATATCCAATTGTACCACAGAACCAGGGCATTTTAAAAAGCAATACATGAAATGTTTTTAAGATTTATTGACAATAAATATTTGTTTCTAGGAAGAATATGGGTAAGCGGCTCATTCTGCCTCATGAGGTTCCTAATCAATGGGATAAAGTGTTAGATGTTCTGTGTCATGTGAAATGGTCTCCTATGGATCTCATCTCTGCTATTGACAATATCAGAAAATACTCCTACAAACAAGTTAAAGAAATGCCGGCTGCGAGTCGGTTTTCAGGATTTTTAGGTTTTTTGAAGGATGCCAGTTGTGTTGGGGGGAATCCTAACCTGTTTTGGGGAGACTGTGGTTTTTCAGTATTGCTGAGCAATACTGAAAAGGAGATACGCACCTCAGGCCATCCCAACTTGTTGGAGAGACCTGCCCTTGTATCTTGTTGTGTATATAAAATTCATTGCAAATACTAAGTTAAGTATACTAAGTAAAAATACTAAGTTAAATATAGAACTACACAGTAAATGATGAGATCAGGAAGGTGATGGTATACACAAGGAAGACGAAACTGTTCAACCTTCCTGGAGCTGATATAATTACACTCACCAATCATCTGGATGTGGCTCCCGAGACACGGGGATGGAAGAAAGTTGTGCAGTTTCTCAACCTTAAGATCGGTAACAAGCCTTCTTATTTCATTTATATCTGATCTTTAAAAAACCACTATGTCCCCCCCCCCACTACTCACTACTATACTAAAGCCCCCCCCCCCCCCACTACTATACTATGTCCCCCCCTCAGTCCCCACTACTATACTATGTCCCCCCCCAGGTGAGGTGAGGAGATGTGAAGTTGCTGGGGGTGCAGCCCCGGTTGTGGAGCTGCTTTGTCAGAGGGGCTGGAATGTTGGTATGTTATATTCAATATCATAATTATAGTACTGATACTCATTAACAAAGTGCTTTTATTATTTACCCATGCTTAGAATGTCTTCAAAGTTATCAGTACAAAATATAAAGTCTACCCTTCTAGGTAAAGTGCTGGACATGCTGAATAAGATTGGCAACCAAGAGGCGGTATCCTCCTTACTGGACATCATTAGTGATAACAAGATATCATCCACTCCTGGTTAGGATAGGACACGTGACAGATACTTTGACACGTGACAGATACTTTGACACGTGACAGATACTTTGACACGTGACAGATACTTTGACACGTGACAGATACTTTGACACGTGACAGATACTTTGACACGTGACAGATACTTTGACACGTGACAGATACTTTGACACGTGACAGATACTTTGACACGTGACAGATACTTACTATGTTACCCTGACAACTGACAGACCCTGATGTATGTATTCCGTGAAGTATTCTGGAATTTTAGGTTTTATTGAAATGTAGAGATTTGACCAAAAGACGTTATGTTATAACATAATATAAATCAAGAGGCTTGCATATAATGAACATATTGACACGGATGCAGAGTTGAGTCTGTACGGAACCTAGTAGTTTCAGATCCTTGTTTAACTTGCCGTACAACAGTATGTCATAACTCTTGTTGTTGTCCAGACTACTGGATTTAAACAAACAACACTTGTTCAAGAAGTGAGACATGTTGAACAATAAAGTAACGGTTAACATACAGTAACACTTGAGCCAACATTGAAATCATGTTACCACACTTACCAGTCAGTAACATGTTTTAACATTAATTCTGACCTGAACTGAAAGTGAATACTAAGGTTGTTGGGCATATATTACTTTACAGTCCCCTCTAGCCAAAAGGGGATTGTCGTACCTCATACAGTCATCTATCAATCGTATACATGGTCTTGTGGGTCTTGTTAGGCGAACTTTAACTTTTAGGCTGTTTAATCTGTTTAATCTGAAATTTCAACATTAATCATTTTCGGCAGACAAACAAATATATGAAAGTTACGAAACATGTTAAATGTCAAAAACTAATTGATGTCACCAGTAGTCTAGTCAATTTCGTGGGATTCTTTCAATTTTGTGACACATTTGTCCGTAACCTTCTCTCCAAATCTCCAGTATTTATTGGTATTGGTGACAATTATCTTGTCATCAAGATGTCATTTGGTTCATTAATTCTTTAATTAATCTCCCTACTTCCCTCCTTGCCTGATGATTTTACCGTTTATTTAATTATACCATTTATTCTAATTCGGCAGATTATTTCCCAACCATTTTGTCTTGTTAACAATTCCTATATAATATATATATAATCTACCTCCAGTGTGATATTCTTAATTTTGTAGAGTATCTACAAATCAGCATAGTTGTGATTAGCATGCAGCGCCGGTTAGTTATCTGTTTATCCATAAGATTATCATTGATCCTATAGAGAACTGTAATATAATGTAACTTAATAATATTAAGTAGCCAATTATAATTATTGGTTGTAAATTAAGGATTCCATTCTATGAGATTCTCTTCTTATGTTGTAATTAGTGTACCATTTGTTGCGCATGGATGGTATTAAAGGGGGGGGGGGGGGGGGGGGGTTATTAAGATCCCATTTAATCATCAACATGTTAATACTTTCCATGTTACATTCACTAACAACTTTACTGTTCAAGTGTTCAACCTTGTGCGTCCCTTCGCAAGATCACTCGATAAGTTAATACTTTATAATTCTGCTGTTTTTTCAGTAACGTAGTGCCAGTATATATATATATTTGAATATTATACCGTCTAGACACGTCTGTTTATTCCATTTATCTCTTTTTATCTGTTATTCAATCTATTTTACATTTTACGTAACCATTACGTAACCATTTTACGTAACGGCAAACATTGTTGATCAAAATATATTTTTGGATTTAAAAAAAAAAACTTATTATCTAATTAATTAATTATCTAATCCAAAGGTTGTCCGATCGAAATTTGTTTTCTTTTATGTTTTGAACACATTGGTTCAATCTAGAACCTTCTACGACATTCAGAAGTTGTTTTATTAGCGGAGGTTTAATGTGGTAAAAAAAAGGTAAATAGTGGTTATTCTTTAAATCTCAAAAAACATACTACAACTACTACAAGAGTAATCCCGATAACACTCTTCAGTCTTCACACAGACAAGAAGATGACGATCAGACCTCGTTATTCTTTAAAAACGTCGAGATTTGTAAAAGTCCAAAATATTGAAAGTGAAAATGTTCAAACATTTTATATAAATTAGTTCATCATACGTTTTACGTAATTGTGAACATTTTTGTCCGAAATGTATTTTTGAAATTTCTGAAAATTTACTTATTATTTAATTAATTATTTAATTGATTATTTTATCAAAAAGTTGCCGTATAAAAATGTGTTCCCCTTTATTTTTAAACATACTGGTTTAAACTAAAATCTTCTAGGATATTCAGAAGTCGACTTATTTGCGGAAAACCAATGTGGTAAAAAGGTGGTTAAAAAAGTGGTAATTGTGGATTTTGCTGACGTCAGAAATTTTGGGAACTCTCTGGAATGATTCCTGGGACCTGTCCCGACCATTTCCCGTTGAAATCGATTTGTTGCGAATTATGTCCGACAAATGCTTAAATTAGGACGCATGGTGCTCTGGACAGCTCATTAGCTGTTTAGTTGTCTTATAATAAATACCGTATCTTATGAACGGCTCTCAGACTGGAGTTATGACTTCCAGAGGCAAACTGCCGTTTATATTAACCATTGTAACCCCCACTAGTCACTGCCCCCACTACCCCAACTACCCCCACTACCCCCACTACCCCCGCTACCCCCACTACCCATTACCTCGTGGTTCTTGAAAGCTCCACCTTTATTGAATAATCATATGTCACAGAGTCGTGACAATGATATTAATCTGTTTTTGTTATTATAATTAATAGTTTCAATATTCATTGTTAATCTCCGACTTGGTGCCGCCCATCCTGACTATCGTTATATTGATAGCGAGGGAGTGTGTGTAAGATATAAAGGAGGATGTGCTGGCAAACTGAATACTTAACACTCATGTACCTGTCGTTGCGTTGTGAAAATCAGGATAATTCTCAGTTTAACCCATCTCCTCCCATCTCCTCCTCAGTTTTAGACAGCAATTATCAGTCTTGAACCTTTTTAAACGTAATTAGAACAAAGTATCAGTAGTACTGTGTTAACAAAGAGGTCGCTATATCACCTGAGACTGCTTTGTGGACTGGTCTGCTTCTTCTTATTGTTTTAAGCCCGGGCTCACATTTTTAAGTTCACCTTTTTAACTGACACTCGAATATTTCGTATGCCGCTTGTGTTCATCAAAGTCTAATACTACAAACACTTACATCATGCTGTAAACGACTCTGTTTGCTTCATTCTTTTCTGCGAACGTGAATTAAGCGCATGGTCACCCCCCCCCCCCCCCTCCCCCCTCCCCGACCCTGCTCCACCAAACGTCATCGTATTCTATAAAGCTATTTTTAGAAAAAAAGTTACTAAAAGACTGATTATTATCGGAGCACCATCGACGTTCATTTAACAGCCGCACATCTTTAATGAAGCGTAATTAAACTGCCAGTAAACACGTGGTAATGACACGTGTATTTTCAAGATACCCTAGAGATCCGGACTTAGTCTAGACAAGGTAACACCGGTAGTTCTACCTCTGGAATGTAGAGTAATACCTGGTACCGGCAAAGTAATGACTTGTGGAGAGGGTGGGGTTTCGGTCTAAATCTTTATTTGACTTGGCTAAGTAATGTAGGGGTGTTTTTGATTTAGCTTGTACGTGGTTTTAACCACGTTTAAAAAGGAAGGTACGTGTTCATATTAACTCTGATAACTGCTATTAACTCTGATAACTACTATTAACTCTGATAACTACTATTAACTCTGATAACTACTATTAACTCTGATAACTACTATTAACTCTGATAACTACTATTAACTCTGATAACTACTATTAACTCTGATAACTACTATTAACTCTGATAACTACTATTAACTCTGATAACTACTATTAACTCTGATAACTACTATTAACTCTGATAACTACTATTAACTCTGATAACTGCTATTAACTCTGATAACTACTATTAACTCTGATAACTACTATTAACTCTGATAACTACTATTAACTCTGATAACTACTATTAACTCTGATAACTACTATTAACTCTGATAACTACTATTAACTCTGATAACTACTATTAACTCTGATAACTACTATTAACTCTGATAACTACTATTAACTCAATACTACTATTAACTCTGATAACTACTATTAACTCTGATAACTGCTATTAACTCTGATAACTACTATTAACTCTGATAACTACTATTAACTCTGATAACTGCTATTAACTCTGATAACTGCTATTAACTCTGATAACTACTATTAACTCTGATAACTACTATTAACTCTGATAACTACTATTAACTCTGATAACTACTATTAACTCTGATAACTACTATTAACTCTGATAACTACTATTAACTCTGATAACTACTATTAACTCTGATAACTACTATTAACTCTGATAACTACTATTAACTCTGATAACTACTATTAACTCTGATAACTACTATTAACTCTGATAACTACTATTAACTCTGATAACTACTATTAACTCTGATAACTACTATTAACTCTGATAACTACTATTAACTCTGATAACTACTATTAACTCTGATAACTACTATTAACTCTGATAACTACTATTAACTCTGATAACTACTATTAACTCTGATAACTACTATTAACTCTGATAACTGCTATTAACTCTGATAACTGCTATTAACTCTGATAACTACTATTAACTCTGATAACTACTATTAACTCTGATAACTACTATTAACTCTGATAACTACTATTAACTCTGATAACTACTATTAACTCTGATAACTACTATTAACTCTGATAACTACTATTAACTCTGATAACTACTATTAACTCTGATAACTACTATTAACTCTGATAACTACTATTAACTCTGATAACTACTATTAACTCTGATAACTACTATTAACTCTGATAACTACTATTAACTCTGATAACTACTATTAACTCTGATAACTACTATTAACTCTGATAACTACTATTAACTCTGATAACTACTATTAACTCTGATAACTACTATTAACTCTGATAACTACTATTAACT